CAAACAAAAAATACCCAACATATACTTTAGCAATGACCCGAACCTGGATCTGTATTTTCGTGTCGGTTCTTGTTCGGGTCTGTGTCAAATATTCAGACCTACTTCTTTTGATAAATTTGTAAACTTACAAATATATAATTTTTGGTATAGATTTGAAGCCCATTTTGTTGCCAATAAATGTTAAAATTATTGGGCTTTTAATTGGCGATTTTCAGTTGGGCTTTTAATGGATGATTTCATTAAAAATAAAAGGAAGTGGAATGTTTTGTAATTTCCTTACAAAATCAGGGGTAAATTCATAAGCATTCATCTGCTTTAATAGTATAGATATGTTCTTTTGGGAAAGAAAAAAAGACAAATGTGTCTTTTATGGTAACTCTCTCATGAACTAATAAGGAGTTGGTTACCTTAATAGACACAATGTGTCTTTTTTCCTCGCTTAAGGACACTTGTGTTGGCAAGGACACAAAGTTGTGCCAGCTGTTTTCTGTTGGACGAAAATGACCCTAAGAAGGGACGATAGTTTTTTGTTGTGGTTTAGGGAGGAGTTTGTGGTTGAAGAATCTAACTAGGAGAGAAGGTGTTGAGTTGCAATAAATGTAAAGCATAGAAAGGAAAAAAGGTAGGTATATGGGAGAGAGGGAAGATTTAAGGGCCGTTGGATATGATTTGAACAACAGATCGAACGGCTGGGGGAGGAAGGTTACTTGCACGAGTTTCCTTGGTAGCTGGTGCATTTAAGAAGAAATCTAAATCTTCCTCTCGTGGTAGGGCTGATAGGTTGCGGTTGAGGAAACATTAGCCTGAGATCTTGATTTTGTCAGTAAGTTGAGGTTGAACGAAGACAAAATTAAAATCTTTCTTCAGCATCGTCTCTGTGGTGCAAACCTTGACGGCGAAGGTAGTTCATCAATGGAGTTCGATGATATCATTTTTTTCTGATATATTGTTTTGATCTGTTTTTGGCATCTATACACAACTTAATGATGTTTTTGTGAATTCCAGATGGATGATATGTGTCTAGTGATGTGTGGAGCCTGGGTTTGTGGTCCGGATGGTAAATGGGAGTTCATCGTGGACAAGAAGAAGATGGCTAGGATGATTTCAGTGGAGGAAGGAATGTCCATAGAAGAGCTCGAACGACGGGTGGTTAGTGAGTTCAGATTTGTTGGAGCTGAGATTGGTGTTGCTCTGTCTTATTGGCCACCGGATAGCAAGGACTTAGCGACGGGGATTAAGACCCCTCCCGTTTTGCTAACTAGTAATGGTGGATTGAAGTATTTTTTTACTCATATGAAGGTTAATGGGTCCATGAATCTGTTCGCTACGGTTGAAGGAGTGGGAAACGAATTGCATGTTGATAGTGGAATGGGCGAGGGATTTGTTACACCTACAGGAGATAAGCGTCGTGGTGACAACGATTTTAAAGGTAAAGGAGGTTACGTTTCAAGCATAGGGTCCAAAAGCAGCTACATTAGTATTGAGGATGATGAATTGGTTGAAGAGGTTGAGAAGTTAGAAGAACGAATTAGGTCAGAGAGTAAGGCCACTGGTGTTGGTGGTTCTAGTGGTTGCAGCGAAGGTATTGAAAGTGATTACAGCGGACCAGATGAGGTTGATGAGAGGGATGTTAGGCCTAGAGGATATGACTACCAATTCTGGGAACCACTGATTGCAGGCGATTTGGGAGGTTCGGATGCAGTTGAGGTTGTATTCAATGGTAAAGATGCACGAGGTGTGGTTAAGGAGGAAGAGTGTAGAAGACCTAACTCCTTTTATACAAACAATGCGTTTGACCATGACGGTGAGCCTGGTGGTTATGTCTCGCATGAAGAAGATACGATCACAGCTGAAGACCCTATGGATGACCTATCGTGGATGGGTAAACCAGGTGTACATGGACGTGACCGTCGTGGTCATGGAGGTGGTGGCCATGAACCAGAGAAAAGGAAGCTTGGCGAAGTGGATGACGAAGAGTTTGACATTCCCCCTTTGTACGACGACACAGTGTATGAAGCTGCTGAGATACCTGGGCTTGACGTGGAAGAAGCAGATGGTGTGGTGCATGTTGGAAAAGTGTATGGTAGCAAAGTCGATTGTCAAATCTCGTTGGCCATTTATGCGATTAAGCGTCAGATCCAATTCAAACAAACACGGACCAAAGTGGACTCTTTCGTGTGTGAGTGCCCTGATCCACGGTGTGATTGGAGGGTTACGGCCCATGAAATAAGGGGGACTGGATACTATGAAATAAGGAAAGCTCAGTTGGATCATTGTTGCCCGATAGAAAGTAGGAATGGATATCGAACAAGGGGAACATCGAGGGTAATTGCTGCTGTGTACAAGGCCAAATTCAAAGAACCGACGAAGGGGCCAAAAGTGGGAGAATTGCAGAAGCTTGTGCTTGAAGACCTTAGGATATCAGCTTCTTACATGAAGTGTTACAGAGCAAAAGAGCAAGCAATTTTGGATTTGAGGGGCCCAGATGATGATTCTTACAAGAAGTTGGCGGAGTATTTGTATATGCTTAAACTAGCAAACCATGGCACTATAACTGATATAGAGTCCGAGTTGGATAAAGAGGGTGTTGAGCGGTTTTTGTATCTGTTCCTTTCATTTGGTGCATTTATAAAAGGTTTCAAGAAGCTGAGGTTGGTATTGGTTATTGATGGCACTCACCTGAGTGGTAAGTACAAAGGAGTCTTGCTGACTGCTAGTGGGCAGGATGGGAATTTTCAGGTTTTCCCGTTGGCATTTGCAGTGGTGGACAGTGAGGATACTGACGCATGGACATGGTTTCTACAGAAGGTGGAGAGGATTCTGGCTGATTCGGATAATGTAACAATTATTTCCGATAGAGCAACATGTATAGCAAATGCTGTGAGTTGTGTGTATCCTAAGGCACACCATGGTTTCTGTATTGTTCATTTGGCCAGGAATGTGAATGCTAGATATTCGAGCAAGGGTCTTGCGAGGTTGGTGACAGCAGCGGCTACAGCACATAGGATGCGAGACTACAAGAAATACTGCGACGAGATAAGGGCAGCCAGTAGTGATTGTGCTGTGTATTTAGGGAAGATTGGGACAGGCCATTGGTCGAGGACGTACTTCAAAGGCGAGAGGTATAACATAATGACAAGTAACATCGCTGAGCAACTAAACAATGCATTGGTTGAGGGGAGGTCTTCCCCAATAATTGAGTTGTTGATGTTTATTCAAGACATGATGACAAGATGGTTCAGTGCTCGTAGGAAGAAGTCAGGGAGGCACAATGGGTTGATGACTATTGAAGTAGATAAGGTGATGACGAAGAGCATGGCGCTAGTAAGTGGCAGTCAAATCAAGTCGATTACCAGTTGGAGCAGTCAGGTTGTAGGCAAGTTTGGTGGCTATGAAAGTGTCATCCTGGATCAGAGAAAATGTTCCTGCAGATACTTTGATCACATGAAGATACCTTGTGGTCACGCCATGATGGTTGCTGACAGCTTGAATGTACCTTATGCTACTCTGGTGGGACACTGGTACAAAACTGATGCTTGGAGGGAGACATATGAAGGGGTGATCAGTCCAATTGGTGACCCAAGGGATGAGGATATTCCGGAGGTTGTGAAGAAGAAGGTATTAATGCCACCAGTAACAAAGAGGCCAGCCGGTAGGCGTAAGACAAAGCGTTTCTTGTCAACTGGAGAGATTCCTGTGAGTTGTATTAGTAATACCATTTAACAGAGTGTATGGTAATAGCCGTCTAACCCTTCGGCATGTTTTGCAGGCGCCGAAGAAGAAGGCCATACCAAACAAGTGTGGGAGATGCAAGGGTACATGGCATAACAGGACTAACTGTGCGAACCCCATATGAATGTGTTATTTGTTGTCGTAATTTTTTGTGTAATTGAACAACTGTTGTCTTGTTTTTCGGATATTATGGATGATCGGGCGTGGATCATAAGTTTGTGGACATTGTGCCATTTGTGATTGTTGTAGGGCAATTGCTGTTGCAGAAACGGTTTTTGGGTATTGCTTTAGGGCAATTGTTTTATGTAATGAGCTTGTGGTTGTATTCTGAAAAAATTGTGGTTGCTTGTATTATACAAAAATTTCCGGTTGGCTTTATTGTGCATAGGATGATTGTGGATGTTTGTATTATACTAGAGGAACTACGGTAAATTGTGGATGTTGTGTTTGTGGACAGTTAAGATTTCTCATTGCCGCAGGGCGATGGTTTGTGTAAATGGTGGCGTGTGGTAGATGATGCTATGGATGGTGGTTAGTGGGAAACTTATCGATTGTGGAAAGTTGGAGATAATTGCAAGCGAAAGAGTTATGGTCACATTAGATGAGCAGATTGAGTACAATAGTTATTGAAAGGAGAGAGTTCTAGACATTGGATCTAATACTGTTTACGACATCAACAATCTCGCGGATGTCTGCTTTTATGTCAACAAGAGCTTGCTTTAGGTCTAGGAGGTCTTGTTGAAGCGCAGCTTGTTTATCCGCCAGTAAGGCTAGCTCTTCGGTATTAGCATCCTCAACCCATTTGAAAAGATGGCCTGCGCCGGAAGTTGTGCCGCAGCGAAAGAACCTTTTACCAGAGTTTTCTTTTGTTTTAGAGGTGAGGATAATTGTTTGAGATCCACATGGGCAGTGGGAGGGGGTTCCGGTGGCGTTTTCCATTGTGGGGGGCTGCGATAAAAAAGGTGAGAACTATGTCAGTGGTATATGGTGATTGAAAGAAGAGTTATGTTTAAAGAACTGAAGGGGATTTGGAAAGCTTACGAGATATGAGAAACGATTTGGAAAAGCTTACGAGGAAGGAGATCTGGAATTAACCGCGGAGGGAAGCATTGTATCTTGATTTGTGTTTTATTGGTTAGATCTGGAATTACCGACGGTGAGGAAGGAAGTATATAGAGAACTCAAGTATAAATCCGCTTAGTTACTGACAGGTGTCGGTTCGTCTAATGTGGATGAGCATAGACAGATGCGTGGCCATTTAACGATGGTCAAAGGACCTTGTTAATGAGGTGACATGGGCAAGCAGCTGTGGTTGGTTTAGTTGATGTTGGTAACGTGGTTGGAATACGGTAACCTGTTATTGGTAACCTGTGGTCATGCTAATGTAATTGGAGGACCTGTGGATGTGGTAACGTGGTTAACCGGCTTTCTGGTGTGTTACGTGGCTGGAATAAGTGTGGAGGTGGTGACGTGGTTGGAAGTATTGTGGCTGTATTATGTGGTTGGATTTCATTAACTGACAGTTGTGAGGGCTGGGCTTCAAGAGGTGTCACTCTAACCATGGACAGCAAAATGGTGTGGGGTAATTACATGGACAAGCAAATTCTGGCTGGATTTACTTTATGTTGCAACATACAAAAGGCAATCCTGAAAGTCATAGCTAAGTTGCACTACATTACATAGAAGGTTTTTTTGAGGTGCAGAAATCATCCAAAATACATCCTGAAAATACATGGGTAGGTCACATGAGAAAGTCCTAACATAAAACTATATCCGAGAGAGAGGCAAATTAGTAGTTTGTAGGGAAAAAAAAGCCTCATCAACAAAAGCGGTAACCGTCATTGTGCGAGCGCTAGTCAGTGGTAGTGGGTTGGTAAGCAGGGAGGACGAAGGTTTTGTATGCTTCCATTGCGTAGCATTTGCGAAACTTGTCAACAATGTCATCTGTGATCCCGCTCATGTGTGGGTATGGATCGCAATACAGGTGCATCTCCATGAACTTGATGCTGACAGGCCCGCAGTCACCGGACCTAAGGTTTTGGTAGAGGTTGGGGATGCGTCTCCACGTAAAAGGTAAAAGGTCACGGGAATTGTCGTTTGCCACGAAACGGATAAGGTATGGGAGCATGTCGAGAACTGGTTTGAGGAAGCCTTGTACCTTGGTGTCGCTGTACAAGTTGGGCAGTGGATCGAGTACTTCAACATGTCCCTTAAGGAGGTGTATAGCTAGACCAACCCAATGCCTATCAGCCCATATCATAGGAGTGTAAACAGTGTGAACGGCTTTCATCCAGGACTGTCCAGGGATCGTGATCAGCTTGGTTAACCGAGAGTCCCACCTGACCTTGTCTTTATAGAGTGCGGCTTGAAATTGGCGGTGTTTGGACTGCAACAATGAAGTGAAAGGAGGCGGAACGAATGAAGAGTTCTGCATAAGAAGCACGTCTTTGTGGCGTTCTCCAAGCATGTGCATCAGAGCAGTCATGTGCTGGGGGAGAATTCGTAGAAATTATTAGAGCTTGATAAAACAGATAAGAGAAGAGAGGTAATATTGTAGAAACAGGACAACGTACCAGTGTGTCAGACCATATCCTAGGAGTGGCTAGTTTCAGAAGGTCTTCATTGGAGAAATCGATTTTGGAAGGTGTAACGTGTTTGCTGGAACATTGGAAAGACGATTAGATTAGGAGATTGAAAAAATAGTTGTTGAGGAAGGATAAGTAGTTGAGAACTTACACATTTCTTTTGGCGCGCAGAGTTGTTGAGAACAGATTCCACAGTTCCTCTGGAGGGGGTGAGATAAGCACGACCTGGGGGAAATCCCGTCGTTTCATTAGTGCTTCTGCTAAGGATTTCTCGTCCTCTGCTGGTGTATGTCTTTTTTGTTTTTTAGCTGGAGAGGAATCACTGAGTTCACAGACATGGGAATCACTCGTTTGTGCCTGCAAAAAAAACATCAAACATTGATTGGTAAGGGAGGGATGTGTTAACTTGAGAAACACTTAGTGTAGGGCATACATTGACTTCATCGAGAACAGTTTGGATTTTCTTGTCTAGGGAATCACTTAGTTGTACTGCCGCGTCATCGATTCTTTTGGCCTGACATAAGGAAAGAAGAGATAATTAAGCGAATGGTAAACTCAAATTAACAGGGTTTATGCAATTATGAAACATGTCATATTACCACCTCAGAGTTAGTACTGGACCCTTTAAGAACAGCAACTGCAGCGAAAGCATTGATTGTGGAGGAGTGGGGTGAAAAACCTTGTGGGGAAACTTTGTTGGGTGAGCTGATGGGGGTCGTGCGTGGAGGTGCTGAGCTATCGTAGACGGGCAAAAGGCTATGTCCTTTTGGTGTTGATGGACTGTGGTTAGGCGGGGTTTGTGTGGTTAGATTGTTGAGAGGTGTGGGGTCAAACTGTGGTAAAGTGGCTATAGGGGCTTCATGTTGTGAAGGACTACCTTGAAGGAACAGAGAGGGACTCCTTTGAACTTGGTGATTATGGAAGATGTCATCCAGTTGTGCAGCCTCCTGAATTGATGACGTGTGAGGGGGAGTGTGGTATACGAAATTGTGGTCAGACAGGTTAATGTCCATGGCAGGTTGATCTTGAGTTTGGATAGCCGTATCATAGGTTGGAGACAGGTGTGCAGGAGGAAGGTGGGGAGATGATTGGTGGTCGGGAGAGCTGTGGTTAGATGATTGGTGGTCATGAGAATGCTGGTCGGCTGAGTGGTGGTCGGTTGAATGGTGGTCAGGTGAGTGGTGGTCAGGTGAGTGGTGGTCAGGTGGTTGGTGGTTAGGTGGTAAGTGGTCAAGTGGTTGGGGTTCGGGAGAGTGATGGTCAGGTGAATGGTGGTCAGGAGATGGAGGATCACTTCGTAAAGTTGAGCGATGCTGGGCCCGATATTGGCTGAGGATAGGAGATTCAGAAACAATGAAGGTGTCGTCTTTCGCCTGCTCATCCTGTTTTGAGGCCAAAAATTTGAGAAAAACGAATGAGAAGCCTATATAATTCATATTCCCTTATGTGGGCATGGTTACCTGGTTGTTGTGGTCACTGGTATCTTTTGGCGAAGCATGAGTCCCTTGACGTGGGTCTTTCGATGAGGAGAAACGACGATGCTTTGCAGCAAAGTGTGGTAATTTCGAAGCAGTTGTGGACCGTCTCCGTTTGCGTTTAAGGATTAGTTTCAATCGCGCATTTGAAGCTTCTAGTGTGGTCACTCTTGCTTCCAATGTGATGACCTTGGCTTCCAATGAGGTTAATAAGGCTTTGAACTCGTTGTTTTGGGGGGAGGTTGAGGTTGAGGTTGAGCAAGTAGTGGTGCGTCGACTAGAGAGTTTAGTGGTGCGTTGTCGCTTAGAAGCTTTCTTGGCAGATAGATTTGACTCCTTTCGTTTCCTCGATACAATGTGTTTCTTGTGGACATGTGGTTCTTCTGGTGGAGTCACTATTTTTAAAGGCTCTGAGCTGTCACCTCCTGGCCACATAGCTTTACTAAAGCGGTGGTTGTTGGCTATCAGCTGCTCCATGTATGACACTTTATCATCTGTCGACTGGTCTCGCCATATACCCCAACCAGATTCGAGTCCTCTGACAATCGGGATGATTGATGTAACACACAGCTGGAAAAAAATAGAGAACAAAAATAAGGCGCAATCTCATAAAGTAGAGAACTTTGTCTCAGTAAAAGGAGAATATTCCACACTTACCGATGGGTCGACTTCTGTGTTAAGAACATCGGTAAGGTCTAACGATCCATGGCTAGGTAGATCTCCATCGGTAAGGTCCATTATGGTCTGCTCGTGTGGTTCTCCCGGAATCTTTGACTGCAACAGAGGTATGGATTTGAAGGCGAGTAACTGCAGAGCTAGAGGGAACCCAATAAGGCGGAAGGAATCTTGTTTGAATTTTTGGACAAGGGTTTCAACTGGGTTGGCAACAGGTTTGCCTTTCAGAAACTGTGGTGGTTTCATACTACGAACGGTGTGAAGAAATGATTCCCGGCCCCAAGGGAATTTTAGAAACGCATCTAGATCATCAAGCATCTGAACGTACTTGAGTGTGGGTCGGTGGACTTGCTGGGATGCAATCAACACTGCATCAACGATAATGATGAGGGCAAGCCGGATTCGCCTCCAACCATCCATCTCAGGCTCGTTCTGGAGCTCGTCTGCTAAGTCCGCGATGGTGATGTTGTTATATTTCCCAATTATTTTTCGCCATATGGGATCTTTGTGTGCATTCTTCTGTTTGTTGGGACCCTCTAGGTTGTGATCGGTTGGTTGATAATTCGGTGGGAAATCTCCGCAGTTAAGCCCAGTTATGGTACCAAACTCTTCAAGCCCGAATCTAATGGGGTCTGGTCCAAACACAGACCAGAAAGTGTATTCTTGACTGCAGACCAACTGGCGGGTCAGGAGAGATTGAATGAGCTTACATGATACAGGGCACTGACGGGTTGGGAGATCAAACAGCTTCCCAAAAGGTGAATCTCTAATCCTCCTAAGTTCAGGAGAACCACGAAGCACATGACGGAGGAAGGCTAGGGTATTCGGTCTGGAGTAGATATTGAGACGTAGGTTGGGGTATCTGTCGGTACGGAAAAGCCTCTCGGGAAGACGGTGGTTTTCTGCGTTCTCTGTTTAAAAAAATAAAAAAAAAATAAATTGGTAAGATCCAAAGAAAATCTAAAGATGTAGTGATTCAATGAGTGTGATTCATCGTTTTAGAAAAATAGAGTAGAGAATTTCCAGAATATGAAATTGAGATCTCACCTTCCATGAAGGGGTAAATGGCGGGACACGGTGAGTGTGGACAGAGTCGGCGAAGAAGATAGAGGAGGGGATAAGGAGAGAGAGTAAAGCGGATTGTCGAGAGGGACGATGGGATTAATGAGAGCGACGGCGGCAAACTTCTGTGCCGACAAAGGCGGAGGATATATGCTAGGGTAAGTGGCGAGAGACGGCAGCGGAACCTCCGTAGAGAGACATGCAAGGGGGTTAGTGGAGAGAGACGGTAGTAAGTGAAGAGTTTGGTAAGACTCGGCGGCTGAAATCCACACAGACGACGGCGGCTAATCGAGGCTCACGACGGGTGTTTATCGTTACCGGCTACGGTGGAGGAGAGCAAGAACATGCGAGTGTAGGGTTCTGTTTGTGTTTCCAGATCTAGATTGAGAAAAAATGGGAGATAGAAAGTCGCGTTTAATGTTGTAGTTTTTTAAAAGGTAACCAACTCTAAACTGATATCTAACCAAACACAAAAGGCAAACCGTAATTTGGCTTTGGTTAGTTTGTGTTTAGTTAGAGGACATTTTGGTAAAATAAACAAGAGGAAAGTGTGTGAATGGGAGAAGTGTTTGTTAGTATAATTAGAATCTCAGATTGTGTCTCCAGCCGTAAATTTTTCACTAATAAGCCCTTATTTTTACCATATGGTTTTCATAGAGTTTTTTTTTTTTTAACGTCTGATTAATTATGCTATTACAACGATGAGAATATTACATAGACGATTTTACAGCCGACAATTCTACCATCTTATGAGAATACACGCCTGACTGCATCACTCCGAGCCGTCCTATGAGATCCATGTTCGATGGTACGCCCTGCACCAAGCTGAAGATCTCTTGTAACTTGTTTCACCATAATCTGCATAATTTGGTATTTTCTGGGGTTTGAACCCCAGACCTCCGGGTGTAGAAGCATTAATGAACCCTTAGTCAAACCATTGGACCAAGGGTGCTTCCACGGTTTTCATAGAGTTAGAAAATGTTTTTTTTAAAAAAGTCGCAAGGAACCAGAAAAACGTTAGGAAGCATCAAAGAGAATGTTATAATGAGAGAGAGAGATGTGGCGTAGAAGGAAATCAAAATTGATATAAACTTCCTTCCTTACTTCTTCTCCTTCTCCTCCAGATCGAACGAAAACCCCCTGATTATTAAACTAAAATTCCCTTGTTTTTAGGGTGACAATTCCCTCGATTTTGGAACTGGGGGTTTGCGTGAGGATCTGTGTGCAATCATATCATTATCACACCTTGTTAATAGGCGATTTCGGAATGGCATCGGTTAATGGGTTCAGTGCCAATTAAAAAGAAAAGAAAAGGATAGAATTCAAAGTAAGCTCAATGGCATCAGCTCAGGTTAAGCGGAGGCAAGAGGTCGCTGAAGCTGGACGCCGTAAGGTATATATATTCCACAAAGTTCATCATTTGGTCCATCATTTGAATTTACTTCCTTTCATTGAAAATTTACAACTGAGAATTGATGCAATACTCCACAAAATAAAAAAATAAAAAAAGTTGTGATTTTCTGAGTTTGTGTGTGTGTTGATTTCATGGATTCAGCTTGAGCAGTTCCGTAAGCAAAAAGCAGCCAAAAAGGCATCATCGCAGAGTCACACCACCACACAGCCTACTGTTGCAGAAGATTCAGATGGAGTTGATGTTGCTGCTGCACCATCAATGCCTAATGAAACTCAGCAACAAGTTCCCTTTAGCGAAACCCACACCAAGTCAGAAAGTAGCCAGAGAGATGAGTCAGTGGGCACAGCTAATTTTTCTAGTAGCTTAGAGTTGAGAGTGAATAATAGGATCCCTGAAGTTGTACCTTATAGCAATATTATTATAGGCAAGCAATCTAGTGAGAGATTTGAGACTCTAAGAGAAACTGATGGTGGCACATCTGGAAGCACTCTGTTATCAACCTCAATGCAAATGGACGGTTTCATGCATGGCACTGGTTTAGTCTCTTCCCAAAAAGGTACCTGGTTGGCTATCAGCATATGAGATTTTGATTAAGTAATGTGTTTTTCGTACAATTTTTTTTGTTTTCAGATTCTTAAAGGAAACAGCTTTTACTAATTTTTACGGTTTTGGTTGCTAGATTCTCTACAACCTACTACCATGATGGCAGGGTCTTCTAGCGAAGTTTCCAAAAACCAACAGGGAAGTGGTGAACCCAGAGGAGGTAGTATCGTGCACACGCCAAGTTTGTCTAGCAGTTATTTTTTTAGTTCTCGACCTTCTCAATCTTCAGATTACAGTGTAAATATCTTGAACTCTTCCTCGTCTCACTCAACTCAGAACGAAGTAAGTGGGAAGAGAAATCTCCCTTCGTTTCTTGATTCTCTTAATATTTCAAGAGCTCCAGAGATTGAATATCAACACCACCCTGTAATTCAGGCGGATTTGGTTACATCAAGTGGCGGTTGTGTTTCTGAACCATCTTCACTCCAGAATATATCTGTGAAAAGAGACAGTAATGGACCATCACTAACAAGCGCAGCGTCTGGTTCTCCTTATCCATTTGAAAATTACAGGAGTCCTTTGTTTCCTGTTACCAATGGAGTAATGCCAGGTTTCTCTGATTACTCCATGCCAAAACAAAATGATGATTTTAGTACTCTGGAACAGGTAATATACTTATTTTTTGCGCCATCTTTTGTTTTATATATGTATTGTCGATATGGTACTTGGAATTTTATGTTTGAGTAGTTTCAAGTTTGAGAGGAGAATGAGCGAGAACTGGTATATTCTTATGTAGAAGAAATAAGTCGGAATTGTTCCAGTAATAAATGAAAATGAGCAATTTGTTTGTGTCTGTTCCTATCATACATTTTACTTCTGTTTTACTTAGCTTTCACTCTTGCTTTACTCTTTGACCTATGCGTATTCTTAGATACTGTTTTATATTTCCGTTTGTAGCATATTGAGGATTTAACACAAGAAAAGTTTTCACTGCAAAGGGATCTTGATGCTTCACGTGCTCTGGCAGAATCCTTAGCATCTGAAAATTCTTCGATAACAGACACTTATAATCAGCAGGTACATATGAATAATTCTTCGATGTGAATTGAGTCTCTGTTTCAAAGTAACATGCTCTCAAACCATTTTTAGACTATCTTGTGAATAACCACATTTATATTAAGTTATTGCTACATTCACAAGTGAGACAGAGATGGCTGTCAAAACAAAGAATTTAGAGAAGGTTCTTCAGGATGTACTGGACTTATCAACTGTCGAGAGTGAACGATGTTTTATTTTGTCAACTATAATAGATGCGTCCACTGATCTTTGTAAAATCCCAAACCCCTCAATGATCCAATCCAAGTAACAACTGTTCTCGCTTTTGTTTCATACAGAGAAGTATTGTCAACCAATTAAAAGATGATATGGAGAAGCTACATCAACAAATCCAAGCACAAATGGTTAGTATCCTATTAACTACCTATACTCAACAAATCCCATTTGTATATGCTCTAGCAGTATATTTTAGTAAAACTTGATATTGCATTTTGCTACATTCAATCTGCTGGAGCTGTTTTCTAGATTAATCCAGAAGCAGGATGTTTACGTGTTGGCATTCTACTTATCAAATTGCTTGATGGTTACTTATGAGACTCAAAATTTGAGTTTCTTGAGTATGATTCTGGATGAGTATTTGTATACCATGTTCTTTCATCCTCTGGAGCTATTTTCTAAATTATTCTGAAAGCTGTTACTTAATTTAACACTGTTTCGTCACAGGGAGAACTTGAATCTGTTAGGAATGAGTATGCAAATGCGCAGCTAGAATGTAATGCTGCTGATGAGCGTTCCCAAATACTGGCTTCTGAAGTCATCAGCTTGGAAGACAAGGTAATAAGGTTTGGTGTTTGTTCTTTCCATTGCATTACTTTCTTACAAAGAACCAACTTTTTCAACTCAGTTAGCTGCAAATGTGTGCAATGACATTTTCTAGTTTAGTTTTTGGAGTTGCAAGATGTGTCTTTCATCTATCTCCAGATGCTCATATTCATTGTTTAGGGCTTAACTTTTTCTTGAAACACATATTAGGCTCTCAGACTTAGATCTAATGAGTTAAAGCTGGAGAGGGAACTGGAGGATGCACAATCAGAAATGTCATCTTACGAGTATGCCCTTTACTGTACTGCCATTTACCTCTCTGTATCGTCACCTGTTTACTTGATGTTTCGTCCAAAAAAGTAATATAATTCTCATCGTAACTATCAACTTTTATAGAAAAAAATTACAGAGCCTAGAGAAAGATCGCCAGGACTTGCAATCTACTATTAAAGCTCTCCAGGAAGGTATGCACGCTGGATGTGTTACACTGAAAAGTAATGTGGTTCTTTCTACAAACTATGTATCTATCTTATGTTCTTAATCTTCCTTTTCAGAAAAGAAAGTCCTACAGACAATGGTGCAGAAAGCGTCCGCTGGTGGAAAATCCACTGATCTCGGCAGAAGCTCTACTAGCAGTAGAAACGCATCAACCTCTACAGAAGGCCTCGGTAATGATACTTCTAAAAATTCACAGTAGTATGTGCACACTATTATAGAAATTTGAAGCATAGTTTGGATGTCTAAAATCATGTAAAAGAATTCCAAAATTTTATTCTTCAACCTGTTAACCGTACCTACGAAGACTAAGATGATGGGACCGTGTGTAGTCTTCTCTCAAGTTTTGATATTAGTATGAAATCTAGTTTCTCCCAAACCTTAATATATCATTATCCTTGTGTCCTCTTTATTTTCTTGTTGCAGTAATCTCAGATACTATGCCAGGGAGCTCTAACCAGGAAACAGATTCTACAGTTCTGCTCGGAAATGATTCATCTTATACAACTATCATTCATGATACTGGACAATTAACTCTTGATGGCTTTCCATTGAGCGTCCCAGCTGATCAGATGAGAGTGATTGAGAACATTAATACGCTGATTGCTGAGGTAGTAGTCATGGATTATTTATGTGAATTTATCTTTTTTCCTTTTTTTGGTTTTCTTTAGCTGTGAGATTCAATACTTGTTAACTCTCAAGGTGCAATCATTTCTCAATATGGATGATAACGTGACAGATATTTGCATATTTGGCTGCAGTTGGCAATTGAAAAAGAGGAACTGGTGCAAGCATTGTCAACTGAGCTATCTCAAAGTGTGCGGGTAAAGGTAAATTATCAGAAACTTAATATCACGAAATGCATGATCTTAGCACATACCGAAAGCATGTCTTTTTTGACTTGAGCAAGGGGTTTTCTTTCAAGAATTGGAGTGCTCTGTCTAACAGCATTCGTAAATTCCGACCATGATTTCTATATGGTTCCATGAGCTTATATCTTACTCACCAAAGCCTCAAGATATTATCTGGTCTCCCAGTATTATCTTTGGATGTTTTATTACATGTTTGTTTTTCTTTGGTATATTGTGTTTCTTTTGTTTTCTCAAGTCTGTATATTTGTCATGCATCTTAATCATAGGAGCTGAACAAAGAGTTGTCCAGAAAACTTGAAGTGCAGACACAAAGGTTAGAGCTACTAACAGCACAGAATATGGCGATAGACAATGTTTCACCTGCAAAGCATCCGGATTCTCATGTTGTTCAAGAGAGACCACCAATTGCAGATGAGGGCGATGAGGTATATTCTCTGTCTCTTTCTCTCCTCTGGTCAGAGTTCCAAACTTGGGTCTGAAAAAAAGACAACACGTTAAGAATTTCACTCCGTTCAGGTGGTAGAGAGGGTTCTAGGATGGATCATGAAGATGTTCCCAGGAGGGCCATCGAAAAGAAGGACAAGCAAGCGTCTCTAAAGAACGACTTGCTCAGCTTGCCCTTCTTGCTTCCTATTCTGTACATCCCGGCACAGCCATGAACTGCTATTACTGCTTCTTCTCCCTTCGTTTTGGAAGAATTCGTTTGGCTATATCATCCAGAAAATTTTGGGGTTCATTAGGCTTGAGCAAAAGCAAGAAGACATCATATACTTAGTGATACAGACACATTGAAAAGAATATTCCAACACGAGAGCTTGAGCAGAGGAGTTTTGTATGAGTACCGGTTTTGTTGTTTATTTACTTGAAATTTCTGTAATTGTTGATTATAGCCAAGGTAAAAGATGTTCCAAGCAATATACCAATCAATCCGGTATGGTTTTGGTTGGATGTCATATTTTCACTCTGTACATTTTAGTTTTAAGCCTCAGTTAAAGCAAATAAATAAACTAGATTATTATTAGTTTTGTTTTTGGTGCTTTTAAATGTGCTACCGTGTTTTTCGATTTTCTGATTTTTTTTGTTTCCGAGCTCACTACCTCTCCTTCAACATCGTCAATCATCCAAACCAAACCCCACAAAACTCTCACTGGAAAATTGTTGACCACCATTGATGCAAGCATGGGGTATTGATCATAAATCTTTATTTTTTACTCTGATTTTTTTTACACCCATAATATTATTATCTCACATTGATTCTATTATTTTCAATTTCAAATCTTGAAATATACATTCTTTTATTTAGATAATAATTAAGTTAACAGCTATTTCATTATTTACCCATTATTATTATATTTTAATGAATTTGTAACTGATACATAGAATGCTAGCGGTTACAAATAGGTTTACGGCTATTTGATAGATAATTGATTAGCGGTTAATATATGTATTTTTTATGATACTAGTATTGTTAACACGCTAACTTGTTTTGTTAGCGATTTGTTTAACACGTTAATAAATAGACGTAACCCGATAACAAAATTTGTACCATGTTAAAATTTTGTTAATTTGCTAACAATTTTTATATCATGTTAAAAATATGTTAATTCGCTAACAAATTTTGTATAACAAAGTAAGGGTAATTTTGTCCATTCAAATTATAAAAGCTACCATGTTTTTTCTTTATGTCATATTATGGGTAGTATACTAATTATGGTCCCAAATGAGGGTATTGGGCAAAATCACTCTTTAGTCATAGAAGGATCTCAGCAAATCTACCTTATTCGCAACACTACTATCACAAGCTTTTTATTATGATAATAATGAGAAACCAAATTTGATATCAAACTCTCCAAATAGCTAATGATCAATCAAGACCAGAGAACAGAGTAACATGATCTAAAAGCTAACAACAATACTAAAAAATACAATAAGAAGCCATAGAATTTCCCTTCATGAAAACAACACTACTTTCTGCTGCTGTTCATTGACAAACCAGCTCCAAGATCTCTCGCTTACTCATCAGTCACACATCCAGCTGAAGCCGATTGCACGTTCTTGATGTACTGTTTTTAGGATAAAAATATCATCTAGTTAGCAACTTATCCAACAAAATGATAAAAGAGAGATACAAATACAAATGGTGGTTTTCATTAAATACCTTGTATAGAACTCCACGGTTAACCTTGTAAGCAGGAGCAGTCCATTTCTTTCTACGCTCATTCATTTCTTCGGGTGAGACTTGTGTGTCTATTCTCTTCTTTCCTATGTCAATTGTGATTATGTCTCCGTTCTTTACCAGACCTATTGGACCACCCTCCTGGACAACCAAGAAAGCTTTCAACATTACCATCTTCATATTATTCAAAAATTACAAAAGCAGAGAAAAGAGACAGACCTGAGCTTCAGGGCAAATGTGGCCAACAACAAAACCGTGTGACCCACCCGAGAACCTACCATCAGTCAGCAATGCACACTCCTGCAAAATAAAGTATGCAATATCTCAATTACTCAGTTCATAACAAAGAAAAAAGGAGTTTCTTTAACTTGGTGAAAAGGTAGTACTTTTCCAAGACCGGCACCCATTATTGCACTTGTTGGTGTCAACATCTCAGGCATGCCTGGACCTCCTTTAGGACCTTCTCCTCTGATAACAACCACTGTCCCCTGTAAGAAACGATATACACATCTCAGCAGATAGTAGAAAGTAACCAGATCTTGAGATAAACTACATCATATCAGCAAGGCTATTACTTTAAAGCTCATTGGGTCTGCTGATATAGCAGCCAGCATAGATTCCTCTCCTTCAAATACAAGTGCCGGACCTAAACCAAAACAGTTCCTTTATGTAAGTCTTAATTTTCTAAGTGTTTAACTAGAATGTGGAGTGTAAAAGGAGGCATAAGAGCAAATAAACATTACCAGAGAAATATAACCCTTCCTTGCCGGTTATCTTTGCTACAGAACCCTCTGGTGCAAGGTCTCCTCTCAAGATTTGGATGTGTCCAGTCTCCTTGATTGGGTTTGACACAGGTCTAATAATAACCTAGAACATTGTAAAACGATAAATCAGACAAATGTCTAATGATCAACAGCTCGTAGATTATGATGAAATAACCACTAACGATTCAAACAAACCGACCTGGTTTTCTGGCAAACGAGGTACATTTTCTAAATTTTGAGCCAAAGTCTGCCCTGTGACTGTTAGAAGACGCACATAAATAGTTATGTAATCAGTCCGAATTGTTACTATGGAGTTTCTACAAAGTTTGAGCATTTGAACCTGTGATACAATCTCCATCCATAAATCCAGCTTCTAATAGATAACGAAGAACAGCTGGTGTACCACCAATCTGTAGATCAAACAACAACACCAAATATACAAAATGATCAAATAGCATACAAATGACTTACAAGCAAACAGATATCGCCAAAGACACGCACCTTATGTATATCTTCCATAACATATTTCCCACTTGGTTTAAGGTCTGCTAGAAACGGAACCGCGTCGCTGACCTTCTGAAAATCGTCAAGCGTCAGTTCCAAACCCACAGACCTGGCAATAGCAATTAGATGCAATACAGCGTTGGTCGATCCCCCAAGAGCCATGACTGTAACCATCGCATTACGAAGTGATTTTGGAGTGATAATGTCACGAGGCTTCAAGTCCATCTTTAGCAATTCTACAAGGTACGTTCCAGCTAACCGGCACTCGTCCAATTTCAACGGGTCTTCAGCAGGTATCGAAGAGCTTCAAAAATGAAAAGGAGCCAGTAAACATATAAAATTCTCAAATAAGCACAATGCAAAAACAGAATAAAATTTTCTTTTAAGCATAACCTTGGGAGAATGTATTTGATTTGATTATGTGGTAAGAACTAACCTGTAAGGAAGAGACATTCCCATAGCTTCGATTGCAGAAGCCATGGTGTTAGCTGTGTACATGCCACCACATGCTCCAGCTCCAGGACAAGCATTATGAAGTACAGTCTTTCTCTGCTCATCACTTATAGATCCACCAACAAATTCTCCATAACTCTAAAAAATACAAAACTGATTTAAAAAAAAAAGACATAAAGAAACACATAATTGTAAGCGCTCAAAACTAGACACAAGAAAGAAGAAAAATATACCTGGAAAGCAGATACTATGTCATATGTCTTCTCTTGAAAATGTCCAGGCTGCAATAAAAATCAAATCAAAGTGAATCCAACTAATCACAAGCTCTGCTTATCAATTAGAAAACTTGATAAAGATAATACCTTGATGGTTCCACCATAAACCATAATCCCTGGTCTATTAAGCCTTCCCATGGCCATAATCGTTCCAGGCATCTAAACACACACACACCAAGAAAAATCAAGCCAATCACATAACCATAACAACAATAAAAAACAACAAAACAAAACAAAAGCTCACATTTTTATCACAACCAGGGATAGAAATATTGCCATCATACCACTGAGCACTCATAACAGTCTCAATACTATCAGCAATCAAATCTCTAGACTGCAAACTAAAACACATCCCTCTCGTCCCCATCGAGATAGCATCACTCACACCTATCGTATTGAACCTAAACCCAACCATCCCAGCCTTCTCCACTCCCTCCTTAACCGCCTCCGACAGCTTCAGCAGATGCATGTTGCACGTGTTCCCTTCGTACCAAACCGACGAGATACCGATCTGGGGTTTCAGGAGATCGTCGTCGGATAGGCCCACGCCGTGGAGGATGGCTTGTGACCCGCCTTGGGACTTGGGGGAGGTGATTCTTGAGCTGTACTTGTTGAGCTTGTTGGTGTCTGTGGGGGAGGGGTCGGCGGTTACGGGTTGGACGGAGCAGGAGATGGTTGGTCGGCGGCGGAGAGAGTCGTGGACATTGTGGGGAGGGAAGAGGGGTTTACAGGGGAAGAGAGTGGCGCGTGGTGAGAGGATTGTGGCGTGCATTGGGGCGCGTGGAGGAGATGGGTCGGAAGGGTTTAGGGAAGGGAGAGAAGGGTTGGACTGAAGTTTGGAACTTTGCGGATTGCGGCGAGGTGGAGGCACGCTTACGAAGTTGTGTGATGACAGAGTGTAGACTGAGAAGAAGAGATGTGATGCTACCAAATACGACAAAAAGAAGTGAGAAAGTAGGGCTTTTTGGTGGTTTATTTACTACGACGTCGTTTGATGTTTTCTTTTTAAACTAGAAAACCGGTTCCGGTTTAATTGATTTGTACTACTAAATTACGGGGGGTGTATTTTTTTTTTTGTCAGCTTAACAATTGTATTGAAAATAATGGATTTATATATATAAGACTACGGGCGGGATATATTTTATTTGTGATTTAGATTACTATTTTTTATACGATTTTGTGGTTTGTGTTTTAAGTATGCATTTGTAAAGATGTGTATGATAATGATTTTTTATACTTTAAATAGTTTTTGGTAAGGCGGGAAATAATTTATTTGTGATCTGGATTACTACTTTTTGTATGGTTTTGTGGTTTGTGTGTTTAATAATGATTTTTTGTAAAAGATGTGTATAATAATGATTTTTTTTCTTTTAAAAAGTTTTAGGTAAAAAAAGATAATATGTGGTAAGATATATTTTGTTTGTTTATAATAGTTGTTTGTACATTAAAGATTTATGACATTGATATGTTGTGATGGTTTCAAATAGTCTATATGGTTTTTTTAAAAAAGAAAAAAAGTGATCTCATATTCTATGTCAAAATGGTTTGTTTTTTTTTTTCTCATATTAATTCTTGTATAGATTAAATACAAAAATTCTTGTTTAATTTCATACACCAAGTTTTAGAGTCATCCACCTTTGTATAGATTAAGTAAAGATTTTCTATGCTCTATAACTATTCAGAAAGTGCAAAATGTTTTTTAAACGACAAAATTTGCTTATATTAATGAAGCAGTGAATGCAAAATGGTTTATATTTTTTATTTTTAGTTCATATTTTTTTTTTCTTTTGTCATTTACTCTTTAATATTTTCCACACATATTCTCTTGTTTATTTAGTCTCAAATTACTTTAGTACAAACCAATCATACCCTACATTCTATAACTCAACTAAAACTAAAGCCATCTGAAAACATAACTAACTAAAATAGTGTATTTAAATAGTCTTCCATGTTGGTTGTTTTTAAAAAAAGTGATTGGTGGGTTACTTGTATTTTATTATGTTTTAGACTCGCAAGTATTGATATGTGGGTTTTATTTTATCAATACCACTATAAGGAAGAAAGGAGAAAAGTCGGTTTAGCGTACTATGTACAATGGATTTCGAGGAATATTACATTAGGCCAACATTTTTTTATCCTATATTTGAGCATGTATTGTCAGGTTTTTATGTAGTCCTTTTTTTGGTTGTCGATGATTTATGATTCAAACTTTCATAATTATCATACTTAGTGTTTCATTTCCATCTTGTGTCACAATTTGTATAAACAATTCATATCTTTAAGTGTACGTTTAAGCTTTATAAGATTTAAGTGTTAGCTAAGGCCATTGATTATGGCTATTTTATAACTTGTTTGATATTTAGTGATAGCTGCAAAGTAGGTAAACTAATGGTTGTTCTTATTCATTTGTTCGTTATAATGATTTATAAAATAAGATAGAATGGGCAGTGAAGGTGGAATTATTACGTTTCAGATGCTGAATTCAGAGTTATAGTGCTGTTGTTTGTTGTTATGTTTGTGATGCATGGTTTTTTGATCGAAGAAAGCGAAGTGTTTCTTAGTGATAAGTAATGTTACCAAGATCACTTGTGTTAGAAGGAACCGATTTTATTTGTATTCAGTGACTGTATGAGTAGTTTAGAATTTGTTATATGCATTTTGACATTCTAATCTTTTTGGGAACATCTGGTTTGTCTTAGATGATATTGTAAGAGAAATCACTTTCTCATTTGTAATCATTGTCTTCAAACATGCTAGTGTTACTGATACTGATAATAATGTGAACTTGCAATTGTTTTTGTACTGATAATATGGTGGCTGACAACAAAAACAAAAACAAAAAAATTGCTTCTTTTCTCAGCTTGTTAATGAGTATCTCTTTCTTCAAGTTCCTTTTAACTTAGAGCTCTTTTTCTTGCTTTTCACTTTTTTCTGTCATTAAGACTAATTAGGGATTTTACCGTGCTACGCGCGGTTTTTTATTTTAAATTTGTTAATTGCTCATTTTTACTGTTGTGCCGATTGTTTTGTTTGGTTTTTATTCTTTAAAATTTTTGTTGGTTTTCTAATTTTCAGTATGTTCCTTTCGTTCTTGTAAATCTGGAATATCATTTGGTAAAATAATTTTGTCTACACCATATAATTTTGCTATCGTAAAATACGCTTATAATTCTTTAAACCAAAAAAATATTTGGAAGATTAACACACTTTAGTTTGGTGTTATATTTGTTCTTAGTCATTAATATTCATTGCCTTCCTAAGTGGTGTGCTATGATGTTATATTTCTTGTATTTGTTTTTTTAATTTTCATTTAAAACTTTAATTTATATTTCTGAAATTATTACTAATTATCTTGCACTATGATTATTTTTAGAGATATCAAGTAATATGGATTTCTAATATTTCATAATTTGGGATTAATGATGGTTATCAACATCATTTTCATTTTTGCTCTTTGATGTTCAATAGTTTTCAAACTTCGACGTTCAATAGTTTTGTGAAAATATTTTTTTTTCATTTTATATAGTTAAGCACACAAATGTGGAATTACGATTAAAAAATTCCATTAAAATTTTATTTTTGTTAAAATTTTCTATTGGTTCTTTGGGCTACAACATCTTTTCTTTTAAATATCTCAGTTTTGGAGATTCATCGTTTTCGATTATTTTTTCCTTAATGTTTAATTATATTTAGTTTTAGCTATATATTCTGTTTTTTTTGTTTTTTTTTATAATTTGGTTTACCCCTTGTCTTTGTGACTTTGTAGTTTGTTTACAATAGTAATATAATTACTATTAGTTTTTGTTTTTATAAATATTCCGCTCCTACTACATACATTCTTATATTGACTCTAGTATGCTTTTTGATTTTAGGTAATTTTCATTTATATATATTATATTAAAACATAAGACTCTAACAAAATATACTATTGAGATATTAGTTCAAATTTAATATTCTATTAAGACTATTCTCATTATGTTAAATTTGATCACAAAACATTATATATATATATATATATATATATTAAATATAAGAATTAGCTTATGCTTTTTTTTTCTAAAATATTATCATTACGTGAGAGAAGAAAAATGTATTTCTTGATTTTATTTCTGGAAAATATAGTATTACATGCCAAAAAAACTAAATATAGCATTTCAGTGAAATATGTGTATATAAAACGTGTATATTGGATGATTTGAAATTATATTTTTATACTTAATTCAGTTGTTCTCTACAACATAACTATATGTGGGAGAGGGGAGGAGATCGTGTTGATTTAAAAACAAGGAGCTCTGATGCTATGTTTCTTGGGAGAAACATGTTAAAGAGTAACATAACATTTGAGGATTCTCTTTTGTGCAAATCCAAAAATATTTTCATATATACAACAATACTTCGCAGAAAGAAAATATAACTTCCGTGGGGAAAAAAAGATTTTGCTCGACGATTCAATGTTAGGAGATAACTTGTATCTCTCTTCCATGCAAATGCTTCCTAAAACTGATGAGCTTACTTTTCAGAAACCAGACAATATTTGTAATTTGGCATCAGAGGTATGACAGACCTCATAAGCTAAATTATCTGATCATAAGAAATGAGTGTAATTCTAGAATCACATAATTAGAAGACCAATTAAGTGATCTAACAGCTGAAAGATATGAAAATGAGAGAGGTAGCAGACTAACGCAGGCTGTTGAGTCTCTCAAGCATTTATTTCAAGGAGTTCATGACTGATCTTTGTCGACCAAATCGGAAGAAGTACAACCTTGCAGTTACTGTTGCGAAGGGGAGATTTATGGATGCATTAGTTGTAGAAGATGAAACCCACAGGAATGGACTGCACCAAAGGTATTTCTGTTATGCTTGTTGTGTTGTTCTAGTCTAATGCAAGTTGTTAATATTTCATAGTTTTTTATCTCATCTCTGTTGACAATTACAGTTTCATTAACGGTTGAGTATGATATGCTTTATTCCAATACTACACCTCTGTTTTATGCCTACAAATAAATGCTGCTTTATTTTACCTTACTTCAAAGCTTTATGAAATACATGTTGAAGGGAATTTTGTACCATTACTCTAGCTATGTAATTAAATGCTTCTTTATTCATGCAGTACTTGAAAGAGCAAAGGCTTCCTCCTATGAAAAAGATTCCTCTTCAGTCAGTACGTATCAAGCCAGTAGTTGAATGATTAAGAAATTTGGACGGCACAGAAAAACTGGTGTTCGATGTTATCCAATATCCTTTGCAAATAAGTGAACGATTTGACTTTGTCTTACTCATTAATATATGTAAAAAGAAGGAATGACACGTAAAATGATAAGATAACAAAATGATTCCATGATGGTTTAAACAGTTAAGGAAAATAAATGACATGCTTAGGAAGTCAGGCTCTATATGAGATAGTCTAACTCGCATATCAGGAGCTGTTGGAGCAGCTCCATGCCGAGTTGTAGGCTACAACTTGTAGCCAAAGCTTCACTACAGACACATAACAATTCTTTTGGAAAAACCTCTGTTTCACAAAGATGCTTGTCACACAGATACATTGATCTCAAGCCTGTTTTGTCCTAATATGTGAACTACTGAAATCAAAGAAAATGTATCAGCAGACTACTTGTAACATACCGTGTTTCGAATCAAAGTTGATGTACCTGGTGGTAGAAGATAAACCCGATAAGCGCTGCAACAGAATAATAATCAGAGTGAGATATAAGTATTAACATTGCTTTTATAGTTCGACTATTACTATATAAATATCTAGACCACACC